GTCCTCCTTCGAATTAATTTCCCTACCGATTTTCGTATCATCGGCAAATTTGCAAATGTTGCTACTCAAACCTGAATCTAAATCATTTATATATATTATAAACAACAGAGGTCCCAGGACAGAGCCCTGAGGTACTCCACTAACAACATTATCCCACTCTGACTTAACCCCATTTATACTAACTCTCTGTGTCCTTTGGAATAGCCATGCCCTAATCCAACTTAATATAGCACCCCTAATACCATGAGCTTCTATTTTTTTAATTAGTCTTTCATGTGGCACTGTATCAAAAGCTTTGCTAAAGTCAAGGTACACATCACAATCCTTACCACTATCAACTGCCTCAACTATGCTGGAATAAAAAGTTAGCAAATTTGTTAAACATGAACGGCCATTTGTAAAACCATGTTGTGACTCATTTATTAATTTATGTTTTTCAAGATGGAGACGAATTGTATTTGCAATTATTGATTCAAGTAACTTTCCCACAATAGACGTTAGGCTAATTGGCCGATAGTTTGACGCAAGTGATCTATCTCCTTTCTTAAAAATTGGTACCACATTAGCTACCTTCCATGACTGGCACTCTGCCTGACTCTATTGATTTATTAAATATGGTAGACAGTGGCTCGGAAAGCTCCTCTTTGCATTCTTTAAGCACCCTGGCAAACACTTCATCCGGCCCTGGGGATTTGTTTGGTTTTAGTTTTTCTAATTGTTTAATTACATCCTCCCTGGTAACTGCTAAACTAGTCAACCTGTCCTCATCCCCACCCACATAGACTTGTTCGGCTGAAGGCATATTGTTAAGTTCTTCTTTAGTAATTGTAATTTGTAATTTAGTAATTTGCCACATGATGCTCCAAGCACTTATTTTATCTAGATCGATTTAAAGGGCATTACAATTGTCTGCATCTCCTATCTTTCCCTGTATCTTGGCTTCATCCGCAAACATGTCCATATAATTCTGTGTTCTGTCAGATAGATCGTTTATGTAGACAATGAACATTACTGGTGCACGAACTGAACCCTCTGGAACTCTACTAAAAACACGCAATCAGATACAATGTCTCTGATTACTGCCCTCATCTGTCTGACAGAAAATTTTTCATTCATGTCAGAAGTCTCCCTGTCACCCCTCCAGCATGTTATAATTCCTCCAGCCTCTTGTGTGGGACCCTTTCAAAAGCCTTTTTTAGGTTCAGATACACCGTCAACCCAACCACCTCTTTCCTGTACTATCTCTTGTGGCTCTATCATAAAAACTGAGGAGATTTTTACACCGGATCTTCCTGTTCGAGAACTGTACTGTCTGTCCGCGTTTGTCATTACTAGATGTTCAACCTATTTGACTTCAACTATTTTTTTTTAGTGTTTTGACTACCAAGCTTGTTAGTGATACAGGTCTATAATTTAATTTAATTATAATTATTATTATAATTATTAATCTATAATTTAACAGTCTCAGTGATGTAGTGGTAAGACACTCGACTGGCGTTCTGTGAACGCTTTGTTATGGGTTTGTATCCTGGCCGGGGAGGATTTACTGGGTGCAAATCCTTAACTGTAGCCTCTGTTTACCTCAACAGTAAAATGTGTACTTGGTAGTAACAACGATTCTTCGCGGCGGGGGATCGTATTCCAGGGACTTGCCCGAAACGCTACGCGTACTAGTGGCTGTACAAGAATGTAACAACTCTTGTATATATCTCAAAAAAAAAAAAATAGGTTCCTCTTGAGGTTATCTTGAGATGATTTCGGGGCTTTTAGTGTCCCCGCGGCCCGGTCCTCGACCAGGCCTCCACCCCCAGGAAGCAGCCCGTGACAGCTGACTAACTCCCAGGTACCTATTTACTGCTAGGTAACAGGGGCATTCAGGGTGAAAGAAACTTTGCCCATTTGTTTCTGCCTCGTGCGGGAATCGAACCCACGCCACAGAATTACGAGTCCTGCGCGCTATCCACCAGGCTACGAGGCCCTCTCGACTACCATTTTTGTTAATTGGTACTATGATTGCCTTTTTCCATATATCTGCTAAGATTCCTGTGCACAAGGATGTCTGAAATGTTATTGCAGTGGAATGCACAGCTCAGTTGCACATTCTTGCAGCACCCTAGGTGAAACTCTAGGTCCAACCGCTTTAATTCCTCCTAGCCCCATGAGTAATTTTCCACTTCATCTTGAGATACCACTATGTATTCTGTGGCTTGCCCTGGAATTTGTATTTGGTCTAGCTCTCTGAATTTCTCATTTTGTACAAACATACTTTGAAACTGTTCATTTAGCATTTCACACATTTCTTTTTCATTCTCAGTAGTCCTGTTCCCAGTTTTCAATCTCAGGATTTTATTCTTTACATGCAGCTTGCTTTTAATGAATACTGTATATAGAAAAGGCCTGGATCTATTTTACATTTGTCCGCTATAACTTTCTCAAAGTTCCTTTCTGCCTTTTCTCACTGTTGTGTAATTGTTTCTTGTAGCTTGTATTGCTGGTATGG